AACATGTGATAGAAAAATAATAAATAATTTGAGGGTAAGGACCTTACTGTGTTCAACATTGGATGTAATAACATAATGTTGGTCATCCTTAAATCTTTTATGAATTAGAAGTTTGGAAAATGTACTACTAAAGATCAATACATGAGTGGCTTTTTAAAATAATTTGTCATCCCATGCATAACTGCTCAATATCATGTTTTACTTAACGAGAATAGTTTGAATCCTATTGAGCTTCAAGTGCTTATACATTCACTTTCTTATGTTTAAGTTATAAAACTTTATAATAAATATTATTTTTTAAGGATTACAGTTTTAGCATAACTCTAAAATTGATTTTTTTAATAATAATGTCAAATATTAAGAGAATACAATTGCAATATCTTCTAAAAGTTTCACTTGACTGCATTGAATTTAATAGGGATTATTTTTGTCGTTAACTTTTTTTTTTACATCTGTTGTGTTGTAGATATTTTATTTTCTTAACTTGTATTCTATGTACTATAACTTTTGTATTATCACTTGAATTGCACTCTCTCTTTATTATAGTTCTTGAATAATGTTGTCTAATCATTTTTTTCTAATTCTAATGTATATGAAATAATTGAATGTCAAAGTGGTTATATTCATCAAAGGTTGTCATGGAATTCCTTAACCAATGTTTTGTATTAATCTTACAACCAGCGAATATTTCATGCTAATGCACTTTTACAAACATTTTTTTGTCTTGCATTCTCTAACTCCCACAAATCTTTAGGTTGGATCTTCTTCTAATGCTAAAAACTTTAATCTAATTTTATTTTCTTAACTTATTTCGGAATGCCTATTGTCAGAAATTATGGTTAAATTTCAAGATAGCGATGTATAGGTTAGCATTAAAGATATCAATTTCTAGAAGAACATTAGATATATGACCAAAAAAAAAGGTACATAATGTTCAAATAATGCATAGTAAAAGTTGTTGTATGAAGATATATATTGGTTCAAGTTTAAAAATTTCTCTTAATTTGGGTTTTCAGTAGAGCTTGCTCAAGAACTCAATAGATTAATGAATGAGATTGCTTTACAAAAGTATTATTTGACACAGGAGCATGAAAAGCTAATGTTATGATTGCATGCATGCAAATGCCTAACTCAATAATTGGCTTTCAAGTGGTGTAATTTTCCTATTGACATAAGTTTGTTGTTGATACATAAGAGGTTCATTTGGGATATATATGTATTCTTGTTTGATTTTACCACTAAATTTCATGAAAAAAATCTTAGCAGAAGAGGCTTGCAAGGAAACCTTACATGTAGATCACATTATCACTTATAACAAATTGCAAACACACCTGCAAAGGCTTCATAAAACATTAAGACGAGATGCTTCTAAGAAAATTTTAGACCAAGTTGAAATTAACGATATTAGTATCGTAAGAAAAGTTTTACCACATTCGTATTGCTTATAAATATGTTGTGACAAATTTAATGAACATTGTCATTGTCGGTCCTATTCTCAAACTTGAAAAGTGGAGGGTTGTGTTAGGTAGTTGACAACAAGCTTAAAACCTGTCGAAAAAATCATGACATGAATCCTTTTGAATATTGTGTAAGTTTTAAGAAGTCCCCTAGAAGCGACATATTGTATGGTTTGAATATAGTGAGAAGTGTGCAAGGGCCGCTGCACCGGCGCCTGGGTGTAGTGTCAAATAAGCAAGGGTTTCCATATTACGAATGAGTACATGTAAAGAAGTTAGTCCATGAAACTAATATAAGGATATGATTTTGGAATATAGGTACCCTTATTGCTAAATTAATGGAATTAGTTGATATTATCATTCATAGAAAGATAAATATCTTATGTGTTCAAGTGGGTCAGAGAAAAAACTAAGGAGATTGATAACTTAGTTTTTTAACTTTGGTATTCAGGTAAGAGTCGCACTAGAAATGGGGTAGGTGTAATTACAATAAGAGTTTGAAAGATATTGTTGTAAAAATTAATAGAGTTGGAGATATAATTATAGCTCTTAAGATTATTGTTAATACTAAGATTTTTAATATTATAATTTTTAATATTATAAGATTTTTAATATTATAAGTGCTTATACTCCCCATGTAGGTTTATATATTGATTCTAAAGATAAATTCGTGAATAAATTAGAAGACTTAATACAAATGATAGTTATTGAAGAAAGAAATTTTATTAGAGGAGATATAAATGGACATGTTGGTAGAGTAGTAGAAGAAATTAGAATTATTCATGGTGGCTACAGTTTTGGAGTGATTAATGATGAAGGTAGAGCTATATTAGATTTTTCTTTAGTGTACGATTTTGTTATTGCTAATATTTTATTCAAAAAGAGAGATGAACATATTATTACTTATAAGAATGGATCTAATAAAACACAAATTGATTATTTTCTTATGAGAAGAAGAGATCGTCGAGAATATAAAATTATAAGGTCATTCCAAGTGAGGATTTAAATACTCAACTTTGATTATTAGTTCTACATTTTAAGATGAAAAGTTGTAAAATAAAAATTACTATGAATCATCTTCATAGAATTAGATGGGGGTACCTAGAAGACACAAATAAAATTATATTTATGAGTAAAATTCAAGCTTTCAAAATGTGGGATGTTCATGAAAAAGCAAATTCTATGGGATAAAGTGACAAAAACTAATAAACAAGTGGCAAAAGCTGTACTTGGAGAATCAAAAGAAATAGTTTCTATAAATAAAATAGTTGGTGGTGGAAAAATAATGTGCAAGAAAATATAAAATATAAGAAGGTATGTTATAAAAATTGGTTTAATAAAAATTGGTTTATGTTATAAAAATTGGTTTAAATGTAAAAGCTTTGAGAACTGAGAAAAATATTAAAAGGCTCACGGAAAGTTTAAGAGAACAATCTGTGACGTTAAAAACTTTGTTTTTAGTGATATTTATAATAGATTAGATACTGGATTTTCTTAGAAAAAGATATTCAAAATAGGTGGATGAGTTATTTTAATAATTTTTTTAATAAAGTTTTGGAAAATACGATCGACCCAAGTGATCTTAATATCGTTAATAATAAAAAAATATTTCATTTTTACCATCACATTAGTAAAAAATAAGTTAAGGATGCTTTAAATAAAACCAGGGTTGGAAAGTTCGTAAGACCTAATGAAATTCGAATTGATGTTTGGAAATATTTAGGAGATTTGGGGGTTTATTGGCTTACTAAACTCTTGAATGTTATTTTAAAAACTAAAAAAAATGCCTGAGTGGAGAGAGAGTATTTTGGTCCCCATTTTTAAGAAAAAAGGGGATGCACAAGAGTGTGCCAATTATAGAGGAATTAAGTTGATGTGTCATACTTCAAAATTATGCGAGTGGGTAATTGAGCATAGGTTAAGACGTATTACGCATAATCAATTTTGATTTATGACGGGCAGGTCTACAATGGAAGTTATACATTTATTGAGAGGTTTGATGGAGAAGGTCAAATATAGTAAGAATGATCGACATATGATTTTCATTGATTTAGAAAAAGCTCACGATAAGGTTCCAAGAGATATCCTTTAGAGGGTTCTTGAGAAAAGAGGTGTTTATATGACTTATATTCAAGCCATTAATAATATGTATACAAGAACTGTTACTTGTGTTCGAACTAAAGGAGGATTGACCAAATATTTTCCCATTTCTATTAGTTTACATCAGGGATGAGCTTTAATCCCATATATATTTTTTTAGGAATGTAATTTTAGTAGTAGTAGCTCTAGTGAAAGAAACGTAACTTTGGGTGATCAAATTTTTAAAAGGTGTGCTCGCCTTAGATATCTCAGGTCTATTGTTCAAAGTGATGGTAATATTGATGGGGATGTTATTAGTAGAATTCAAGTAGGTTGGTTCAAGTGGAGGAATGCTTTGGGCTATTGTGTGGTAGAAAAGTACCGCTTAGAGGTACTTAAACTAAATGGAAAATTTATAAGATGGTGGTGAGACATGCAATGCTCTATGACGATGAATGCTAGTCTCTAAGAGAGAAGCATTAAACTAAGCTAAGTATTGCCGAGATGAGAAAGATTAGGTGGATGAGTGGCTTTACATTTAGAGACAAAATGCAAAAAGAATATATCCGTGATAGGGTTGGTGTAGCTTCATTTAGGGTTGGTGTAGCTATCCGTGATAGGGTTGGTGTAGCTTCATTTATGGACAAAATTAGAGAGAAACGACTTAGATGGTTGGTCGCGTTAAACGTCGATCATCTGATGATCTGATTAGAAGAATAGATGTTTTATATTCGACTTATGTTAAAAAAGGCAGAGGTAGACCTAGGATGACTTGGGCAAATAGTAAAAAAAAACGATCTAATTTATTAGAATTAAATGAAACTATGACAGAATATAGGATGCAATGGAGAAAAAGATTCATTTAGCTCACCCCTCTTAAGTAAGATAAAGGTTGTCGTTGTTGTGCCGATCATAAAAATATTAATAATGTAATATTTATTTTTGTGATAAGTAATAACTTAGGTTAATGTAATTTTTTTTATCGTAAAATTATTATATTATAACAATTGTAATAACACTGCGATATTATAATTCTTAAATTATGTAATCATTTGTATTTATACATAATTTATCATGTCATAGTTTGACTACTCTCTTTCTCATGAGAAATTTTTAATAACTTTATATTATTAAATTAAAATATATTTCTTTATAAATATTATAATTATAATATACTATATCAACTATTATTATGGCTACTTGAACATGAGTTATATTGCATTTGTTGCTATTAAATACTATTCAAATTATATTCGAATACTATTTAGACCTTCAATTTTTTACAGATTAAAAAAAATAAATTTTTACAATCAAATTTATTGGAATAAGATAATTATAAAAAAATTTACCCAAACTATTTTAACAAAATAAAGTTATAAAACTCACAATAACAATA